CGGTCCAATGCAGAGTGGCGGTGACTTCAGAGTGATTCATGTGTAACCCAGTCATACATTTCACTGTACCTGCAATGATGCAAAAACTCATTAGCATCTCTATTTAAACAACGTAGTTGCAAAAAATATCAATCTATCTTCAGGATGTTTTTCTAATTGCCTGTGACCTCACATCATTTTTCTACATGCCAGTTAGCTTGTCTCGGTTGCTTTCCCAGCTAGACATCTTGTTTTGGTAACATCTGACAAATGGGCTGCCTCATGCTGCTTTCGGGTGGGGAAACAATGAAAAGTTAGCCCATTTTCAAACTAATTTCCTTGCTGGACGTTTGACCTAAAGTCATCTACACAGCACATCTGAAACATAGCTGATGTGCTTTCTCTTTGTTTCTCAGTTCTCAGTCAGCTCTTATGGCTGTATTTTACTTGGCAAGATGGCACATTAATGCAAAATCCTGGCCACTTCCTGTCATGCAACGTCACATTCCCAAGCACTAGGTTTGGGGGGGTCAGCCACTCAACAAATTGCACCTTGAACTCTTCCAGCTACCATCTTTTAATAATAACAAAAGTACTGGATTAGATTTATAAAGTGCTTTCCATTATTCATGCACTCTCACATTCACACACTGCTGATGATGGCAAGCTGCAGAGCCTCCCTGGGGAAGTCTGACAGAGAAGAGGCTGCAATTTCACACCATCAATCACGACTAACACTGGCAAGTTGGGTGAAATGTCTTGCCGAAGGATACAACAGCAAAATGAGTAATCAGTACTGTTCCCGTTGACTTTAAAGCTCAACATTTTAGAGGTCATAGCTGATTTTACACGGGTAAACGGAGTACAGGGTGAACTTTTTACTGTACTTGTGTTTCTTTTATTTTTATTCTTGTGACATTAGTTGTGCTGGTATTTGGGCACGTTGTTCTTGCTTTTGTGTGATGTTCATTTCACAGGACTACAGGTGAAAATTAGCATCTTGCTAAATCTGCATCTGTATTTATGTAAATTGTACGTTCGTTAACACGCACTGTCCCATTCAAATAAATAAGTTTAAAAAAGGCAAGTAGCTAGGAGAACGGGCAGGGAAACGCTAAAAGAAGGTCTTTACATTCTTTTTAGAAGTGTGATTTATGGTGCTTCTGAAGAGAGCTCCAAACAGCGCTCTGCCTTCTCTGCTCATCCCATGTCTTCTCCCTCATCCACAGGTGCAGCATCCTTGTCAGGAGCAGTTACCCACACTGTTTCTACTGCAATCATGGTGATTGAGCTGACTGGCCAGATCACACACATCCTACCAGTGATAGTAGCTGTGATCCTGGCTAATGCTGTGGCTCAGTCTTTACAGCCCTCCATTTACGACTTCCTCATCAGAATCAAGAAGCTACCCTACCTTCCAGAGCTGGGCTGGGGTCACCATGAGTATGTACAGCAGGGAATACTGCAGTAACAGAAACACCAGCCTCGAATGACAAATTACCTGAACGTATATAGCTCTTTTCTCAGTCAGAGGACTCAAAAGTGCTCAGTCATTCACCCATTCATACCATGCCATGCCATATTTATTTATAAGCACATTTAAAAACAGCATGGCAGCTGACCAAAAGGCTGTACAGATAAAAACACAGTACACATAGAAATAAAAGCATAGTCAACAATAAAAACATATTTAAAAAGCACAAAATATAGTCAGTAATAAAGCACATAGCTACAATAAGAGTTCATGGGTGGGGAAATGCCAGATCATAAAAATAAGCTTTTAATAATGACTTAAAAGGAATATTCTATCTCAAAGTGAACTTTTGTCGATGACCACATTTCCCAGAGTTAGATTAGGGAGAAAAAGCATTTTGTGACCAGAGCAGTAATTCTCCTAGTCTGGCAGCCGTCCGTCTGCCTTTGCCTGGCATAAACAATGGAAGTGAATGTGAACTAGTAGCATTTTGGTTGCAAAAGTCTCAATAATGATACCAATTATTCTCGTTGTGCTCAAAAATCATGTCGACTACAAATGAAAATTAAAAAGTAACACGGAGGATTTTCAGGAGCCGATTTACACTTGGGACTATATTATGACAAAGCACTGCAGTAACCCGCCGCTGCATGGCGCATAAATATAACTCAGCTGTCGAGAACGCAAGAGCCATCCTGCTTCTGTACACAAAGATACACGTGTGATCTGCACATTATTTCTTTCCCTAGTTAGTTGTAGAGGCTTAATACAAGAAAATGCCTGTCTCTCCACTACTGTTTGATGGACATTACATCCTGGATGGCTTCCAATTTTCTGCACTTTAATGAGACTGAAATCATAAAATTCAGTCATCAAAGGAGATAAATCAAGTTCTGATGTTGATCTTGCTTCTTTGGACCCGTACTAAAAGGAGGTAATCAGCAATCTGGGGATAAAAATTGATTAATCCCTTAAGCTTGCCACACAAATAAACATGGCAGTGAGGTCCTGTTTTTTTTTTTTTTTATCTATGATGGTTGTCCAGTATCACACCTGTTTTGTCAAGAGCTCATGTGGAATCTGTGCTGCATGCTTTTGTCCTGTCTCGACTGGACTACTGTAATTCTTTGTATGCTAGTCTGAGTCAGGGAGCGATTACAGTGTAGCCTGTGTAACCTGTGTAACCTTTACACAGATCCAGCTTGTCCAAAACTCAGCTGCAAGGTTTTTGACAGGTACCAGATGCCGGGATCACATCACTCCAGTGTTGGGTGCTCCGAACTGGCTCCCGGTGCACGTGCAGCAAAATTTAAGATCCTGCTTTTTGTGTTCAGGGCAATGCCCCCCCTTACATTTCTGCACTTTTGCATAGGCACGTCTCATATCAGTCTCTGCACTCAGTTGAACAGGAGCTGTTGGTAGTCCCCTGCTCAAAGTACCAATCAAGCTGGGATCGTGCACTCTCGGTTATGGTCCCAACTCTGTGGGATGAGTAGCCACTGAGCGTTAGGCAGGCGCCATCCCTTCAAGTCTGTTATTCGGTAGCCTTTCCACATTAGGGTTCATGACACTAGCTTGATAATATGGTTTTTAATGCATTTTAATGTACAGTTGTGGTCAGAAGTTTACATACACTTGTGAAAAATATATTATAATGGCTCTACTGAGTGTCCCGTTATTTCTAAAACTCAGATTTTTCTCTGATAGAGTGATTGGAACAGATACTTCTTTGTCACAAAAAACATTCATGAAGTTTGGTTCTTTAATGTCTTTATTATGGGTTAACAGAGAAAAGTGATCACATTTGCTGGGTCACAAATATACATACAGCAGTGCTAATATTTGGTTACATGTCCCTTAGCCATTTTCACTTCAATCAGGCGCTTTTGGTAGCCATCCACAAGCTTCTGGCAAGCTTCTGGTTGAATCTTTGACCACTCCTCTTGACAGAATTGGTGAAGTTCAGTTAAATTTGATGGCTTTCTGACATGGACTTGTTTCTTCAGCACTGTCCACATGTTTTCAATGGGGTTTAAGTCAGGACTTTGGGAAGGCCATTCTAAAACCCTTATTCTAGCCTGATTTAGCCATTCCTTTACCACTTTTGATGTGTGTTTGGGGTCATTGTCCTGTTGGAACACCCAACTGTGCCCAAGACCCAACCTTCGTACTGATGATTTGAGGTTATGTTGAAGAATGTGAAGGTAATCCTCCTTCTTCATTATCCCGTTTACTCTCTGTAAAGCACCAGTTCCATTGGCAGCAAAACAGCAACACAGCATAATATTCCCACCACCATGCTTGACTGTAGGCATGGTGTTCTTGGGGTTAAAGGCCTCACCTTTTCTCCTCCAAACATATTGCTGGGCATTGTGGCCAAAAAGCTCGATTTTCGTTTCGTCTGACCACAGAACTTTCCTCCAGAAGGTCTTATCTTTGTCCATGTGATCAGCAGCAAACTTCAGTCGAGCCTTAAGGTGCCGCTTTTGGAGCAAGGGCTTCCTTCTTGCACGGCAGCCTCTCAGTCCATGGAGATGCAAAACACGTTTGACTGTGGACAATGACACTTGTGTTCCAGCAGCTTCTAATTCTTGGCAGATCTGTTTTTGGTGATTCTTGGTTCACTCTTTACCCTCCTGACCAATTTTCTCTCAGCAGCAGGTGATAGCTTGCGTTTTCTTCCTGATCTTGGCAGTGATGAAACAGTTCCATGCACCTTATACTTACAAACAAGTGTTTGCACTGTTGCTCTTGGGACCTGCAGCTGCTTTGAAATGGCCCCAAGTGACTTTCCTGACTTGTTCAAGTCAATAATTCACTTTTTCAGATCCATGCTGAGCTCCTTTGACTTTCCCATTGTAGCGTTTGTGGGAGTTTGTATCCAATGAGCCCTATTTACCTGGCCTAAGAGAAGTCACCCGCTGTAGTCACTCATAATCACTCACAAGAAGTTAAGAGGCCATGCTATGAAGCTCAGTTCACTGACACGTTTCTAAGTCACCAAAATTGCTAGTTCATGTTGCTGTATGTATATTTGTGACCCAGCAAATGTGATCACTTTTCTCTGTTAACCCATAATAAAGACATTAAAGAACCAAACTTCATGAATGTTTTTTGTGACAAAGAAGTATCTGTTCCAATCACTCTATCAGAGAAAAATCAGAGTTTTAGAAATAACGGGACACTCAGTAGAGCCATTATATTATATTTTTTACAAGTGTATGTAAACTTCTGACCACAACCGTATGTTCCTTGTTTTATTTGACAATTCAAATCTTTTATTATTACTGTTTACTGTTTATTGTTTCTTGTTTTAAAGATTAATAGTCTCACAATCTTTATTTTGTTCTTATCATGTTCTTTATGATGGTGTTTAGTGCCTTGGGCTTCCGATAAGGTTGTGGAAGGTGCTCTATAAATAAAATTGAATTGAATTGAATAAACAAAAAATCCTTAATACTTAAACCTAAATTAGTACTTAAACTTAAGCTCAAACGAAATGTCTAAATTTAAAATCAGGACAAAGTTAGGGCAAAAGACTTAAGATGAAAACTAATAAATTGTTTTGTCATGCACATCTCCAAGTCCCTACAAGCACTTGGCTCCAAAAACAGCCCCCCCCCCCCTTCCCCAAAAAAACAGCAACAGACAGGAAACAGAAAAATATGTCCATTGTGAGGAGGAAGACATAACTGTTGTTAGCAGAAAACACAGATACCTAAAATGTCTAAATGCACATTTAAAAATGGCTGAAAAATTTATAAATAACACATTTTTGTTATCACATTTCCTTACATAGCAATAATCCTCAGCTCTTTCTGGGAATTTCCAAGATGTTTCCACTCAATAGGAAATATTCCTCAGGTCGCAGGTCCTCCCGATGTTTTTTAAGCACTTCCATGTGTGTTTTTTCTTTCTCAGTATGTTTAACATCCGAGTAAAGGATTTCATGAAGCGGGATGTGAAGTACATCACATCAATCTGCTGCTACAAAGAGCTGCACAATGTCCTGATGTCTGCACACGTGGAGACTCTGGCACTGGTGGAATCAGCTGGTAAGATAAAAACACGCGCACAACAAAGAAAAGAAGGAAGGAGAATTTCAAAGGGAAATTGAAAATATTTTAGCATGTGTAAAAGTTAAAAATAGTTTATCTTACTCGCTGGAGCTGGCTTTCCGAAGAGCCTGTTTGGAGACATCCTTCAGGAATGATGAGCTGACAGCTGGTCTGAGCACAGCCAGGATCAAAATCTGTGTCTTAAAACACTCCCTCAAACTTCAGTGTGGATTGTGTAAACTTTATTTTATACATAACAGGCAAGTTTCACACTTCTTAACATGGAATTATCTGGTTAGTTAAAAGGTGGAGTTGAGAATGTTTGCCATTCAAGCAAGCTACATGAGGAAAGCTTTTCAAGGTTCCAACCCCCTTTCTTCAGGCTCCTCCTAGAGACTGAACATCTGATGGTGTAACCAGAGGCTGAGCTGGCCTAAATGGCGCCCTGTGCGAGATCCCCCTGTGTTCATTAGCACATCAAGTTCTATTCAGTTTACCGGTAAACATATCACGAATGTACAACAGGTCAATTATTAATCATCTTGGCTACGTAGCTCAATCTATGCATTCCAGTAGCGTTTGCTACAAACAAATATAAAAACAACAATAAAGGAAAACAACTGTCTGACAGACAGCATAGCCGAATTCAAGGCAACACATAACAATAATCATTTGATTGCTCCTGGTTTCAAATTAAGCCCACTAAAGTGCTTAAGTAAATAAAAGTGTTTCAAAAACAGCGTTTTTGAACCGGAGTTCTGCTCGCGGTGGGAACTCTGCCGAACAAGGTCATTTTTTATAGCGAAAACGATCGACTGGTCACTGACAAGTAAAAGGGTGTTATTGGTAGATGTTAAGAACACTTACCATTGAGGTAAAATGAGAGTATAAATGAATTGAGGGGAGAAAAACGCTTTGTTTTCCAATGCCGTTCTACAAGCAACAAGCTTACAGCCACGGCAGGAGCAGCTTTCATGGTTGCTGCGACGTGGAAGGAGCCAATCAGGAGAGGGACCTCACATCAGCTGACGTGGGTCATGTGACAGGGAGTAGTTGATATGGGTTACACTTTGTTGTGCTTTTATTACAGAAATATTAGTATTATCATCACTATTATTATTAAGAACATGCGATTTCTATGTTTTGTTTATGTATTGGTTGATGCTAAAAAAAATATTTTTAGAAAAAAAAAAAAAAGGAAAAATGCCGCCCCCTGCAGACTGCCGCCCTGTTCGGCCGCACATGTTGCACATATCAAGCTCCGCCACTGGGTGTAACCCTTGATGTACAAACACTGTTACAAAAAAACATCCAAAGGAATCATCAGTTTTCTACCCGTTGATGGCACCTTTTCTACACTGGAAACCTCCTCCGCTACTTCGTCTCAGTCTGAGACTCTCAGACTACGTAACTGTACAACAGTTTAGAATGCTGACAGCCTGGCTCTGACTTTGCTTCTTGTTCAACTTCTACAAGCAGAGACAGCATTTCATGCACAATGAGAGCAAGTTGTAAGAGGGGGAGAGACAATCAGTGGGAAGTTTGATGGATGACTGGATCAGGAACAAATCGTCAAGAATGGGACATTCACAATGCTTGACTGAGATTTTCCCAGGAATATATTAGAGGCGATTAAATGTATTCACTTCAAACTGCTACTGTTTAGTTGGCATTTCCATCAGTAATGGGTCCGTGGTTGCCAACAACGTTTCAGTATCTTCTTTGATGTTGTTTTAAGCATACAAAGTGGATCTGAAACCACAAGGACAGTGGCTGTCAGTAACTGATTGGCTCAGGGGTGAAGTCACCGCTCATTCCATCCTACCGCCGCGCTGCCTGCAGGCTTCTCCGGGTTTAGTGTTGGCCAAAAGCCAGTGACTATTCTGTTTTTGGGCCACATACAGATCACCTCGGTTTACTTTTGTGTCAGGGGCCGATCAGTTTTAAGAATTATGTGCCTGCATCAAACCTTGAAATTAGCCTAGAACCACCTCTTATCTGCTGCTGCTGCTGCTGCTGCTGGAGGAGCAGGCTCTCCAAGCCCCTCCCAGATATCGGAGCTTTTAACAGCTTTTAGCAGTGGTTCAAGTATTGACCCTTGGGAACCCCAACATGTTGGTGATCTGCAGATTTGTGATCCTCTAAGGAAATATCATAACTCTTGCTATCATCTGAACTAACTATGACAATCCCACCTGATTTATGAACCTGTCAAGGAGGAAATTGTGGTCAGTGGTATCAAAAGCTGCACTTGAGAATCAGCAGAACTTCGGTTTTACCTGAATCTGCATTGCCATGAATGCCATGCAGGCTGAAGGAGCTTATATGCAGGAGAGTACAGGTGGAGTACAGGCGGAAATGCTCAAGTGAGCATGGGTGAATGCAGAGAGACATGGGAAAAGCCTGTAACATAAGACCAAACTCATTCTGAGTAGATAGTGTAGCTTGGCTGAGTTTTCTGCAGAGCTGTTTTGTGTGTGTGGAATTACCTGAACTTTGCACTCTTTTATATTTTTTAAATCATATGTGTCCCACCATTTTTATTTTCCCATTTGTGGCTCTTTGTCCTCTCCTGTCTCTCTCTGTAGAATCAATGATCCTGATGGGCTCCATTGAGCGATCCCAGCTCCAATCGCTGCTCTCCCAGCAGCTCAGTCGCAGCAGACGGCTGGAGTACATCAAGGAGCGAGCTGCCGCTGAGGAAAAACACCTTTCTGTTGTGTCCGATAGCAACAGCGATGCCGGCCCTCAGAAAGCCAGTCAGGAGATTCACTTCAAGGTGGGAGGTCAACACTGCATTTTCGCTTGAGTTGTACTCTATATGCACTCGCTTAATGGTTAAATTGCTAATTTAAAACATTTGAATGTGACACAGTGCTTTAACTATAAGAGTATTGATAGAGACAGCAGGAATGGGACCCGTAATTACAAACCAGTAAGTTAAAAGCATTCTTTACACACTGTCCTTAAAACATCTGTTTCGAATGTGTTGAGATAAAAGGATTTCTAAATCATCATTTTTTTATTTATCTGTCAATAAAATGACTTATTTCTTATCTTGATTACTAAAGTCAAACATTTAAAGGAGCAACATTTTAGAAACCTACAGTGAAAAAAACTACAAAACAGTCTAATGTCTCAATCCTTTTAGAAAGAAGGTTACATTTTAAAAAGGTTTTCCTTCTAATCCGATAACAGGTTGTCAGTTTTTCTCATTTGAAAATGCTCAAAGTGGGACATAGTTGTGGTTTACAATATCCATTTACTTCCATATAATTTCCATCTCACCCTCGGCGGTTGGTCTCATCCTTCCAAGCTCGAGTCCTCTAAAGGCCTGGGAGCTTGAGGGTTCTGTACGGTATCTTAGCTGTTCCTAGAGCTGCACTGTTCTGGACTGAGATGTCTGATGTTTTTCCTGGGATCTGCTTTAACCATGCCTCCAGTTTGGGGGTTATTGCCCTGAGTGCCCTGATGACCACGGCACCACCAATGTCTTCACTCTCCGGGCTTTCTCACATTCTTCTTTGAGACCCTGGTACTTCTCTAGTTTCTCGTGTTCCTTTTTCCTGATGTTGCATCACTTGGTATTGCCACATCAACCACAACAGCTGTACTCTGTTGTCCACCACCACAATGTCCGGTTGGTTTGCCATCACTATTTTTTCATTCTGGATCTAAAAGCTCTTTTCCATTGCCAGGTCTGGAATGGTCCGGTCTGGTTATTTTTGTTCCGATATGGGTCTGGGATTTTCAGGCTGTTTTGATTTGGGCCATCACGTCAGCAGTTTAGGCCATCACGTCAGCAGTTTGGGCCATCATGTCAGCAGTTTGGGCCATCACGTCAGCAGGCGGGGTTCAACGGCAAAAACAAAATGCTTACCACAGCCTCCACATGTGACACCGGAGTGCAGTCACTAAGTCCAGAGGCCTGCCTTGGTTATAAATAGCATCCAGTGCTTCGTAGCAACTCTGTGCATTTCTCTCATCCAAAAAAAAAATAAATCCGCTCCGGCTGTTTCTGTCCTGAACCATTAACTATTTTGGGCTTTAATTCCTTCATCTTGGCCCGACACTGTACAGACGTCCACTCTGATCCTTCTGATTCTTCGGTTGCAAAAATACAAACAACAGAACTCAATTTGTTTTGCTTGTTGCAAGTAGTGACATATCTCTGTCAACCAATCAGTGGACTGTGTTGTTGCTCCACCCTAACCATACCGTTCCAGACATTTCTGGACCTACAACAGAAGGGAGCTGTTGAATTATTTCACAGGAGACCACGTCTTGCTTCAACTCTTTATTTCTCTCTCTGCTCCTCCCTCACTTCGACAGCGACACCCTCTGGTCAAAACGGGTAATTGGCAGAACAAAGCATATATATATATATATATATATATATATATATATATATATATATATTTGCCTCTTTTGTGTAACACTTTGTGAACACAACATCTCCCCTTTTACTCGAAATAATGCCCAACCCCTTCCAGTAAAACATCCTGAAACATTCACCAGCATTGTACTTTTGAGGTGGCTAATAACTTGACAAGTTTATATTTTCTGATAAAGAACTAAAACGGAAAACACAGTGTCTCTGAGCAACGTGTGAATCAAAAGGCAAAATAAAATATCTTTATTCAACCCCTTCATCCCCTGACCTATTTCATAACAAAGTCTTTGGTCCATCTTGGTGGTTGTCAGTCCCTCTGCAGGGTGGGACGAGCAGCAGTCTGTGTTGAGCTGACATTTTCCACACCTGTATCAGCCCGCTGTGTTTCTGCCGCGTTCCCAGGAACGAGCGACAGGCGAGCTGCTTTCTATCGTCTCCCATCACTTAGGATGAAAGAACTCTCAACCGTCTGCTGCTGCACCTCCAGGGGCTTGGTGTATTGTGTGTCACACCTTGTCCTGTCTCCCCTTTTGGTTTAGTCCTGTGTCTCTGTTAATTGCTCCCACATGCCTCTTGTTTCCCAATCACCCAAACTCCCAGCCCTCCTGTATTTAAACCCCTTCTGTGTTGTGTCTCGTGCTGGATCATTGTTCCTTTGTTGACGTGTTCCCCATTAAAACCTTAATCGTTCCTGTGTGTCTGCTTGCCTGCTTCCCTCACCCGCGTGTGGATCCTTACCTCTGCTTCATTCACCGGCGCGCGCTAACAGAATGATCCAACCCTGTAAAGGATCCAGCGGGGAGATTCTCCCCTGGAAGTGCCTGCTTCAGTTCCTCTCCTCGGACCACCGGCCGGCTTCTCCTCCTCCGGCTTCGCTTCGCCGCCGACGCCGTCACAGACCCTCAGCCTCGGCGTTCCTCTCCAACCTCCCGGAGCCAGATGAGAGGTTGGATCGGGAGACGCTTCCGGATCGTTCCAGCTTCATGGGCACCAGACTGGCTGTGTGCTCCCTCGGAGCTGGCCCACGGCATGGGGAAGGATGCTGAGCTCCACCGCAATCCTGTGTCCCCGGATGGAGCCGCGAGCTTGCCGCTGCCCCGGCTCGGCGCACCTGCTTGGGCCCGCCCCCAGTCAGACCTACAGTCCCGCCTCCGGTCCATTCTGCGCATCTGCAGGCGGAGGAACCATGCCCACAGCCCAGCTGACAGAGCTCGCGGGTCTCCAGGCGGAGCTTGGCCGGATCCGTCAGCTCGTCAGCCTCAAGGAGTCCCACCTGGACACCCTGTCCTCTGCGAATCACCAGGAGAGGGTTTCAGTCCAGCCAGCAGCTCCCTTGTCTCAGAGCCAGAGTAGCAAGTCTGCAGTCCACCCAGCAGAGCTCGTCGGTCTCCGAGCTGAGCTGGCCCAACTCCATCAGAGCCTCAGTCTCCAGGAGCTCACACTGGACACTCTATCCTCCCTCCTCTCCCAGTTTCCAGCACCACCAGTTTAATTGCATCCAATTCCAGCAGTGGTCCCGGAGGTCGCACCGCATCTGGTCCAGCCTGTCCAAGCGGTCCCGTCTGCAGCAACTCCTCCTCCACTCCAGAAGACGGTGGTCCAGATGCAGGTGGTCCAGAAGCTGGTGGTCCAGAGGCTGGCGGTCCAGAAGCTGGCGGTCCAGAAGCCGACACTCCCGAACCAGAAGTCAACGCTCCCGGACCTGAAGTCGACGGTCTAGAAGTCGACGCTCCCGGACCTGAAGTCGACGGTCCAGAAGTCCACGCTTCCGGACCAGAAGTCGACGCCCCTGGACCAGAAGTCGAGGGTCCAGAAGTCGAGGGTCCAGAAGGCGATGGACCAGAAGTCGACGCCCCCCGGACCAGAAGTCAACGGTCCAGAAGCCGACACCCCCGGACCAGAAGTCGATGGAGGTCAACGCCCCCAGTCCTGTGGTCGACGCCTCTTCCAGTCTTGTGGTCGACGCCTCCTCTGGTCCTGTGGTCGACGCCTCCTCTGGTCCTGTGGTCGACGCCTCCTCCGGTCCTGTGGTCAACGCCTCGTCCGGTCCTGTGGTCGACGCCTCTTCCGGTCCTGTGGTCGACGCTTCCTCGTGTTCTGGGGTCGACGCCTCCTCGTGTTCTGGGGTCGACGTCTCCTCGTGTTCTGAAGTCAACGCCCCCTCGTGTTCTGAAGTCGACGCCTCATCCACTCCAGAGGTCGACACCTCATCCACTCCAGAGGTCGACACTCTCTCCAGTCCAGAGGTCGACGCTCTCTCCAGCCCAGAGGTCGACGCTCTCTCCAGCCCGCACTCTCCAGCCCAGAGGTCGACGCTCTCTCCAGCCCAGAGGTCGACGCTCTCTCCAGTCCAGAGGTCGACGCTCTTTCCAGTCCAGAGGTCGACGCTCTCTCCAGTCCAGAGGTCGACACTCTCTCCAGTCCAGAGGTCGACGCTCTTTCGTGTCCAGAGGTCGACGCTCTTTCGTGTCCATAGGTCACGCTCTCTCCAGTCCAGAAGTCGACGCTCTTTCGTGTCCAGAGGTCGACGCTCTTTCGTGTCCAGAGGTCAACGCTCCCTCGTGTCCAGAGGTCGACGCTCCCTCGTGTCCGGAGGTCGACGTCCCCTCCAGTCCAACGTCTCTGCCGTCTCCAGTCCAGTGGTTGACGCCGTCTCCTGTCCAGTGGTCGACGCCGTCTCCAGTCCAGTGGTCGACGCCGTCTCTTGTCCCGTGGTCGACGCCGTCTCCTGTCCCGTGGTCGACGCCGTTTCCTGTCCCGTGGTCGATGCCGTCTCCTGTCCCGTGGTCGTCTCCAGTCCAGTGGTCGACGCCGTCTCCGGTCCAGTGGTCGACGCCGTCTCCAGCCCAGACGTCGACGATGCCGCCTCCAGCCCAGAGGCCGACGTCGCCACCTCCAGCCCAGAGGCCGCCGCCGCCGCCTCCAGTCTAGAGGCCGCCTCCAGTCCAGAGGCCGACGCCGCCGCCTCCAGTCCAGAAGCCGACGACGCCCCCTCCAGTCCAGAAGTCGATGACGCCTCCTCCAGTCCAGAAGTCAAGGACGTCTCCTCCGGCATCTCTGCCTCCGGTCACCACCAGTCCTGCCCTCATCAGGCGCGGGCCCCCAAGGGTCCATCCTCGTCTCCACCTCTGTCCCAGATGCAGGCCTCCTAGAGCTTGTCGTCGCCTCCTCCTCTGCCCCAGACGCAGGCCCCCAAGAGCTCGTTGTCGCCTCCTCTGCCACAGACGCAGGCCCCCAAGAGCCCGTCGTCACCGCCTCCTCTGCCACAGACGCAGGCCCTCAAGAGCCCGTCGTCGCTGCCTCCTCTGCCACAGACGCAGGCCCCCAAGAGCCCGTCGTCGCCTCCTCTGCCACAGACGCAGGCCCCCAAGAGCCTGTCATCACTG